AATTTTAACAGACACTTACTGTATAAATGAATTAAAATTGTTTTATTTTTTATATATGATAATTCAAGTTTTTACTTTGCAAAAGTATATTTCTTTTGTTTTTGTCTTTTCTTCTTCTTCTTCTTTTATCTACTTCAGAGAATTTTATCTTTTTCTTTTTTCTTCTTCTTTTAATTCTTCGTTGTTGGTAGACGTGAAATTGAAGGATTTTTATCATGACGCGGTGTATTTAACGAACTTCGGCCAATGAAGAACGAGCATGGATTTAACGGGGCTGATGCTAGGATCAACAAGGCTATTCAGGATGGATCAAAAATTTAATATCTTTTCTGTTCGCGCCTTTAAGTGAGAACTTTCGATGAGTAACGATATCTACTACTATGATTTTTTTTTATTTCTGTGTACTTTTTCAAGTATACTTTTCTTTTTTAATTATTGTTTCGAATGAAATAATTCTTATTAAAACAAAACAAAACAAAACAAAACAAAACAAAATAGAAACAAAAACAAACTTAATCTAATTAATTATAACAATATTTTTTAATTAAAAGAAAAAAAAACACAATCAAATTTTAAAACCAAAATTATTTCAATAAACAAAATAATTATAATATTATTAATAATAATAATATTTTGCAATAAATTCACCTTCATTTAATTTTTATTTTTACTCTTAAAATATATCGATAAAATTTATCACAAAATAAATCACGTTATAAATCCTTCATCTTATTAATATAAATTTTTATAATGTAAACAAGAATTAATATAATATATATATAGATCAGAAGTATTCGATGTAATTTTTAATATGAAAAAAATCTTACACACACATAGATATCTATATATCTATATCTATATATATATATACGGTATGGAAGAAAATTCAATTAAATTTTTTTTTGTTTTCTCATTCAACCTTACGATCAAAAAGAAAAAATGCAAAAAGACTGTAAGGAAATGAAAAATGGAAGGGAGAAAAGAGAGGGAAGGGTAGGGGGAAAAATGTAATATCAAAATTTATAGAATTTTAGGTTCGAAAATTATTCATTGTAAATGATCGAGTATAGTATTATTGTATATTATACATTATAACTAAAAATAAATGAATCATATATATATATACATAGATAAATATGAATTATGATATTTTGGAGGTTATGTCGAACAATCCTATTATAATGCGTGTAATGAAATGACGATGCCAACGATGTAATTTCGATTATTCGTTTTGATCGATATTAAAACCGATATGGGTGGCAGAAGGAAGGGTGGAAGGGTGTGGGTAATGAAGGGTAGGGAGGAGGAGGGGAAAGCATAGTTCGACGTACAATCAATCACGAACAACAACGTACGTTTGACAAATAAGTATTTGCGAATATAATATGAAATTATATTGATTGACGTTTGACAAATTCAATTGATTAAAATAGCATCATTGACTTTTGTAAACCATACTCTTATGGTTTTCTCATCAGCTGGGTTTTTCTTTTCTTTTCTTTTTTTTTTTTTTTCTTTCATTATTTGTATAATAAGATATAACGAGAATTTATTGAATAATTCCAACTTCGTTAAAACACGATCCATTATTTCATTCATTACAAGTTTCATTTATTATTTTACATATTCGGATTATCAAATGATTATTATTTTAATGTATTACATTATTAATTTTATTTTTTTTTCCTTTTGCATTATATTCAAAATAAATTATCGCGTATTTTTATTACATAATATAACTTATAATTATTATAAATGAATATTGAGTTGTGGAAAATAAATGATTTTAGATAATGTCGATAGGTGGCCTTTTAAAATCAGCAATGACTTAGTTGCTAACTTAATATATTATAATTAGATAAAATGAACAACAAAAATATCCAATTTTTAATTCATACTTTTTTTACTCTTTTTATATAATTAATTAATATTTATTTAAAAATAATCTATCAAGTATAAAACGTCTGATAAAACTTAATATTAATCATTTGAAAGCAGACAATTCATATGACGTGATATTATAATTATTAAATATAAATTTGTTTTTTTTTTTTTAAATTTGATTAATTTATTATATGACAAAACATTAATTTAAACAACGACCATTTTTTTATGGGGAAGTTAAAGGACCGATTTTTAAAAAATTATGTTTACTTTTTTCTTTTTCTTTTCTTTTTGGTTGTTTTATTTTTTCTTTGTTTCTTTCTTTCGATAAACAATTTTCAATTATCGTAAACTGCATCAACGTGACTGATTGCATTTGCCACGAAATAGCAAACTCAATGCCAGCCGATTGACGTACCAATAAATATTCCTCTCTCTCTTTCTCTTTCTCTTTCTCTTTTTTTTTCCTCTTTTTTTTGTTCAACCCACTTAAAATACTTTAATTGTTTTCAACGTAAGCCTCGTTTATCATCGTTAGTCCAAACTCTCGAATCAAAGCTATCGTTGTATCGTTGTAAATTAATATGTAAGTTTTATTTTTTTATTGTAAAAATTGTGATTAAAATAAAAAAAATAGAAATAAAAAGAAATAAAAAATTAGAATAATTATTAAGAGAAAAATTAATTACTCAATACTCAATACTCAATACTCAATACTCAGTGCTTAATACTCAATACTTGGTAATCATTACTCATACTCAATACTCATTAGATATTATTCAATACTGATTACTAAATGCTTATTTAATACTTAATACTTATTACTCATTACTTATTAGTAAATACTTATCATTCAATACTCAATACTTATTACTCATTACTTATTAAATTATTAAATACTCATTTCTCAATACTCATTATTCAATATTCAATACTGATTACTCATTACTTATTATATTATTAAATACTCATTACTCAATACTCATTATTCAATATTCAATACTGATTACTCAATACTTATCATTCAATACCTAATACTTATTACTTATTACTGATTACATATTACTCAATACTCATTACTCATTATTCAATACTTTTAATTCAATACTTAGTACTTATTACTCATTACTCATTATTCCACAATACTGATTATTCAATACTTAATACTTATTACTCATTACTCATTATTGAATACCCACTGCTTAATACTCATTACTAATTATTCAATACTTATCATTCAATACTTAGTACTTATTACTCATTACTCATTATTCCACAATACTGATTATTCAATACTTAATACTTATTACTTATTACTGATTACTCATTACTCATTATTGAATATCCACTGCTTAATACTTATTACTAATTATTCAATACTTATCATTCAATACTTAATACTTATCAATCAATACTTATAATTGACTATTTAATACTTATTACTCAACACTTATCAATCAGTACTTTAACTCAATACTTTAATTATTCAATAATCATTACTCAATACTCATACAATATTATTCAATACTTAATATTAATTACTTATTATTCTTTATTCATTACTCATTACTCATTACTTATTACTTATCATCAGAAAACATAATTTTAAAGATTTAACTAAAGAAAAATACTTGATTGCAATTGATTATCTTATTTTCCATATATTGCATATAAAAATAAACGAGAGATTATAAATTTTCAAAGCAACTTCCAATATACTTCTCTCTCTTTTTCTTTTCCTACTTTTTTTTTTTTTAAATATCATCATACTAAAAAGAATCACAGAAAAGACGGACGTTAATAAAAACGCCTTTGCCCTTCGGCCCGTGCCGACGTCACTGGTGTCAGCAAACGTTGTCGTCGTCGTTTTCCTTGTCGTCGTTGTACTTGTAGTAGTAATAGTTGTAGTAGTAGTTGTAGTTGTTGTTGTAAGGGCTGCAGGCGTTCGTTTAACACGCGTTTGCAGATGGAACGAGAATGAACGAGGAAAAAAAGGAAGAAGAAGAAGAAAAAGAGAGGTGGGGGAGGGGGAGGTTGAAGAAGGGTTGAGGGTTGAAAGTGTATATAAGGGTAAAAGTAGAGATTGGTGTTGGGGTTTGGGTTTGGGTGGGGGTGGGTGGCAAACGTCCGACGATAATAACGAAAGACGCGTTTTCATTTTGACACACAAACACATACACACACACATACATGTACGTTTACTTGTATTTTAAACTACTGTCTATTTTCTTTTCTTTTCTTTTCTTTTAAGATTCTTGTTATTTTTTTTTGTGTTTCTTTCTTTTTCAGATACGGGATCAGAGTAGATCCATGGCAATGGTTTCTTTTCCTGAGCGGGAAGTACGATGGTGGTGAAGAGCATCCTTCGCTTTGGCTGATCCTTTGTAAGTCAATCGATAAATTACTATCACATTTTACTTTGATAAGAATACATATCAAGGTCAGGGATTCTCAAATCTCTTTTTTACATTCACTTTATATTTTGTTATTTATAATAATTTTTCTGAACACGTTTTTTAAGATCTTTTTGTTATTCGGAATGTAATTTTAAGAGGTTAAGGGAGATGCTTTTATGTTAATTAAATAATTATGTTTGTATTTAATATTCAAAATTTTTTAAAATGATTTGGAGACAGTAAAATTTGATTTAATTTGACTTATCAAAGTTATTCGACAATCATAATACATTGATTGTTTTTATTTTACCCCCTCAACCCCTTTAATTGGATGAATCCTAAATTTGGTAAATCTTTCGAATCAAAATTATTATAATATAATATAGAAAATTAAATTGAATCTTGGTGTTCATTTGACATAACCTTTAATTTTATTTCTTCTTTCATTGAATTATCCTAACGATAATAAAAAAGCAAAAATATGACGAAAATACGAACTTACATTTTGAATTTCTCAGGCGATGGAAATAAAAAAATAATCTACTTGACGGAACGAAACGTAAGAAGGTTCTAAATGACGTTTGAAGTGTTTTTTTTTTTTTTTTTATTAGAATGTAAAATAATTTTCGAGTTTTAAAGTGAGGTTAAGTATGGCTGAATATGATTTAAGAAATGTTCGCGTGTTGTCAAACGAAATTACTTTTCATAACAACCTTAAATTATTAAATTAAATTGTAATATATGAATAAAAATGTAAATTACGATATAAACAATTATTGAATTAAAGAAATAAAATAAAATTATAAACATTTAAGAGAGAAAGGTTAATTTGTAATTCGATTTTGTATTCTTGAAAGTTTTACTGCATCCCCTCAAGGGATTCAAGTATCACACGTTGAGAATCCCTGATCTAACGAACGTTAAAACGAATGAGAAAGAGAAAGTTAGAGAAAGAGAGAGAGAGAGAGAGAGAGAGAGAGTGAGAGAGAGATAGACAAGAGTATACATTTTTATCGAAAATATATTTAATATTTCATTCAATAATTCATTAAAGTGTAATTTTTAAGGTTAACTCATTCCAAATTATTTGAAATATTACAAAAAAGCCCAGATATTTTATGAAACTTAATTTAAACTTATATTAATATTATTATTATTATATAAAAAAAATTGATTTCTGTTTAATTGAATGCAAATTAATGTTTTTTGGGGGAATTTGTTTAATTATAAACAAATTACTTTAAAATGTACAATTTTGAAGATAAATAGTTTACTCGAAAGAAAAGAGAAACAAAATCTAACCTAAAAAAAAGAAATGGTTGAAAACAAAATCTACACTAAAAAAAGAAATGATCGAAAACAAAATTTAACCTAAAAAAAAGAAATGATCGAAAACAAAATCTATCTTAAAAAAAGAAACGATTGAAAACACAAGTCATATGATTTCAGTTAAAAACACTTTTAAAAGATAATCACAGTCGGTTCATTTTTTCGAATTCACCCCGCATGAACCATTTTTCTTTTCCTGAATTTTAATTTTCTTCTTTACCTCATCTTGTACGTTCAACGTAAATTGTTACTACGACTGAGAGAGAAACGACACGTTATTTTCCTTTCATTTACTCGCTAGCTTTAATTATAATTCGTTAAATTTTACCATTGTAGAAATTTCTCTCGAGACAGTTGGTTTGTGTTCGTGGGGAAAACGAAACCGCTTATCTTGAAAAAAAAAAAAAAAGAAAAAAACGGAAAAGAAATTGAAGAAAATCAAAAAATAATATAATACAAAATTATCATCCCATTTTCTCTCGCGTGATTTGATTTATAAAAAAAAAAAAAAAAAGAAAATAAAAAGAAAAAATTAAAAGAATAATAACAATTTTCCATTTACATCCTTTTTTGTTTTTGTTTTTCTATATTTTCGTAATATTTTCACATAGTCGTAAGAATATATTTTTATTTTTTACTTTGTTTCATTTTTTAAAACGTTTCGTTAGATACTTGTAGATAAAAATTATCTTAGTATGAGAAAGATGAAAAAAAAAATTATACCAAACTATATCAAAGTATAGTATAGTACAGTAAATAAAGTAAAATAAAGTAAAAAAAAGTCGAATTGTGTTGAAAGGAAACTCGTCTCATATTTTTTGGCAAGTATCCACCCGATATACTTCACTAAAGTGGAATGAAGTGGAGTAAAGTGGGGGATGGTAGTTGGGGTAGGGATTTAGAAATTAATTAAAAAAAGAAAAAAAATATATACATATATATAAAAGAAAGAAATAAGAAAGAGAAAGGAAGAGGAAGAAAAAGATGAAGAGGGGAGGGGGTGAATTGAAAAAAAGGGGTTTTCTGTCTGTTAGGAAAAATAGAAAGAAAGAATAAGAGAAAAAGTATATGTATATACATATGTGAATGAATAAGTGAAAAAGAGAGAAAGAAATGAGAAAGAAAGAGAGAGAGAGAGAGAGAGAGAGAGAGAGAGAGAGAGAAAGTTTTTGTGTAGGAATGAGTGACAGGAAGAAAATATGTGTAAGTGAGTGAGTGAGACAGAGATTGAGAGAGAATTTATGTGTTTGAGTGAATAAATACAATAAGAGAGAGAGAGATAGGTAGAAAGAGTATATATATATATATATATGTGTGTCTGTATATGTTTAAGTAAATAAGTAACAAATAGAGTGTATAAAAAAATGTGTGTGTGAGAAAAAAAGAGAGAAAGAGAAAGAAAGGGTATATGTGTTTTTGAGTGAATAAATGAGAGAGAGAAAGAGATTTGAAATATAAAGTAAAGTACGAAAGAGAGAGAGAGATAGAGAAAGAGAGAGAGAGAGAAATAGATGGAAGATATGTATGCCAATAGGAGTTATAAGAGGTAACGCCATACTTTTCATATTTTTCGAACTAACCTTCACATTTTTAGGTATGATATTAAACGATGCTCTCGCATACGTCAGCTATTCTTTCTATTCTTCTTTTATTTTTTATTTTTTTTTTTTTTTTGGACAGGGTTAGGAGGCTTTTTCCCTTTTCTATTTTTAATTTCTATCTGTTTGCATTCTTTTTTATTTTTTTTAATATTAACAAAAATTTTTTTTGTTTAAAAATACTATATCATATAATAGTATAATTGAATATGTTTAAAAATAATATATAAAAATATAATTATATATGTTTAAATATAATACATATTAATATAATTAAAAATAATATATAATAGTTTTTTATATTAAAAAAAAAAAAAGACAATTTTGTTGTTTAACATAAAAAAAATATATTTCTATTTCATATTTATTATTATTATTAATATTATTATTATTGTTATTATTATTAATATTATTCTAGACGTATAATGATACAAAGTTCACCTTTTCTGTGATATTTTAATTGAATTATATTTTTATTATAAAATTATTGTTCTTTTAAAAACGTGGAATATAATTTTATACATTTTCAATTATTTTTTAAATATGTGTTGGTAAATAATTATTTTTCTTTTTCTTTTTTTTTTTATTTATATATATTTTAAAACTCTTTCATTATTTCAAATCTAATACGATCGGATTCGAACAACAAATTGATTCTATTTTAATCTTTTTATTCCCCCTTGCTTTTTCTCTATTATTTTATTTTTATTTTCTATTTTTAAAAACCTATTTCTATTTAAATCTTTATTCATTATTCAAACCGAATCTATTAGATAAAGTTTAAACGAAATGTTTCTCAACTTGTGAATCAAATATTAGCTTTAAATTTAATTATTTATAATCTATTAAATAGTCTTTTACCTAATACCAAATCGTGCAACGTATAATAATAATAATTATTATTATTATTATAATAATTAATTAATTAACTTTCACAGGAAGGATTACTTTTTAAAATAATTTACAGTAATTGCAATCCAGCGAATTCTGAAATTTAGAATAAAATAAACATCAGGTTATGTATATATATATATATACGTTCAGAAGTTTAAGAAACGTTGCATTAAACTAATGTAAATTTAGTTTCCAACTAAATAAACATTTAACCCTATAACCTTTCCACCATTTCATTTAGATGGCATAAATATTTTCTGCATAAATATTTTTGGAATAATGTCAGCCGTATATTTCTAACAATAAGCTCTATTGTCACTTTACTAAAAAACAAAAAAACAAAAAAATAGAAAATATTTCCTACTTAACTAAAACGAACTTTATCACTCGAATCTAAATAAATGATTTTATTTCTATTTCACTTTCCATCTTTCTTTTCCTCACATTTATAACAAAAGGTTGAAGCATGAGAGTTATATCGATAACGTGACCAGACTTACTTAGTAGTAGATCTTTAAATTTTACAGGAATAAGAAAACGTAAAATAGAAATAAATAATAGAACAATATGAATACTGTTTGTGTATGTATGTTTGTTTGTGTGTGTGTGTACATTTTTATGTATAAAAGAAATAAGAATTTACTTGAATTATTTAAACAGTTTCAATTGTAATGCACACGGTACAGTATATTTAATAGTTCTCGTATTTTACAGTCTACGTGATTCCCCTTTTTTATGTTTTTATTTTTTTCGTGTTTGTTTGTTACCATTTTATTATTAATCAATATTGCAACTGGTGTTAATAATGTTCCTTGTGTTGTTGTTAGTATTTTAGTGTTATAGTATATTAGAAGTAATATACTATATAATATACTATTTAAATAATACTACTCTTAAATAATTAATATAATAATATAGTAATTGTTTTGATTCAACTATTTGTTATTAATCAATGATGCTGTTAATATTATTTGTGTTACTGTAATATTCTGATGCTACAATATATTAGAAGTAATGCATTTATAGTATAATATATAAGTATATTATATATATAAATAATATTCTACTTACTATATTAAAACCTACTAGGTTATAATAGTATATTATATATACTATAATAGTATTATATACTATATATACTTATATATAGTATAATAGTATATTTAA